ATTTAAAAATTTATTTATTTGAGAGAGAGAAAGAGCACGGTGGGCAGGGGCAGAGAGAGAGGGAAAGAATCCCAAGCAGACTCCATGCCCAGAGCAGAGCCCAATGGGGGGCTTGATCCCATGACCCTGAGATTATGACCCAAACCAAAATCAAAAGTCAGAGGCTTAACTTGACTCAGTCAGCCAGGAGCCCCATCAAGAACATATCTTTTAAAACTACAAAAAGTAGGGGTTTGATCACCTTCCCTTGAGAGCTAAAATTTAAAGAGTACCTATTATCCTCAGAGCACATTTGTAAATGTTTTACTTCTTCAATTCATTTAACCCTCAATACAACCCTATGAAGCATCTTTTAAAGATAAGGAATTTGAGGCACCAAGGGGGTTAAGTAATTTGCACAAAGTCCTGCAGCTACTAAGTGACAGAGTGGGGCTTCTAAAACCAGGCAGTCTGGCTTCAAAGCTCAGGCCACACACTAATTGCCAGGAGCAATGACCATTAAAAGTTGTGATATATGCTTCCAGATAATTTTTATTGAGGGAGTACAGGCACACACATGCATATGTGTGGGTGTAGACAGATAAGAGTGATACATATGGAACTATACCAGAGGCCAGCAAACTCCAGCCCACAGGCCAAATCAGGCTCACTTCTGTTTATACACAACCCATGAGCTAAGAGTGGAAGAATGGGATTTATGTTTTTACATGACTGAGAAAGAAGGAAATACAAAAAGAAGAGTAGCATTTCACGAGGCATGAAGAGCATTTCATGACAAATAAAATTCAAATATCAGTGTCCATCACTGAAGTTTTAATGGGACACAGACATCTTCATTTCTCTAAGTTCTGCCTGTGGCTATAAACACTACACTATAAACACAGAGTTGAGTAGTGGTGACAAACAGAGATAGTGTGACCCTGCAAAGCACTGACTATTTCTACCAGGCCCTTTATAGAAAACTTCTGCTGACTCTTGGATTATACCATATATGATACTCCAAAACTTCCCTTGTCACTAAGCATTATATCATTTGAATCTTCCAGATTTCCTTAATTTCTTTAAATGGCTGCAAAATAAAAATGTACCTAAACTTATTAAACCTTTCCCCTACTGATGAAAATGTCATATCCTTTACCAAATTGCTCTCAACATAGTCGGATTAATTTATTTGCCTCCTACCAAAATGTGAAAATGGCCTATATTTTGGTGGCCTTGGTAGCTGCACGTTGAGGAGTTTCAAACGTGTATCACCTGAATACGAGCTCTTCCCTTGACTGCTCAGGAGCCACACAGTGCTGCTGCTGAGTCCTGAGCTAAGCCACTGTTTGGGACTACCTGGTCTAGATAACTCTGCATAACCTGTACAGAGGAAGCCACCTCTCATTCTTTTCAACTATCCTACCTTCTTGGCTTAGGAATATGACACAGAAACTTCTGTTCTTTTTACATAGTTGGAAAAGTGGAAAGGTAGCTACCATTCTTCAGTTGTTCCCCGGCCGTGGATAGTGCCGTGAGCAGTCAGATACCTCCCTAATCCACGTTGAGACTTGGGAATTGCCTTCAGCAGAATAAAGTCACTTTGCCTTATGTCACGTCCGCTTTCCAGAGAAACACATCCAGTAATTGGTCAATGCAGACGTATAAAAGCCCATGCACCTTGAACTTAAAGTAGGACAATTAAAGTCCCAACTCCAGAGCTTCTTCTAGAATCCACTGAGTCTCAGTTGAATGTAATTGTAGTGAGACTTCTCTTGCCCAATTCTCTCATTGCACAAAAATGTTTTCCTGAGAACTCTACCCCATAAACTGTCTATAATCAAATCTGCATCTTCGAGTCTGTTTTCCTGGGGAAACTGACCTAAAACACTCTGCTATAACTCTTCCCAGAGAAAAAGAGATGCGATATTTGATAGGACGTCTGGCCTTAGGAGAAGAAAATGAGTACATATGGCTCAGTCCCTCCCCCAGTCTCTTTTTCAGGCCAGCACCTGAAAGGCACACCCTCCTCCTACTTCTGTCCTTTGCAGGGTAGGCACACCAGGTTCATGCCAACAGACCATGCTTTTCAAGGCAAATCTGGGCAACCATCAACCTCTTTTCACAGCAATGAGGCTTTAAACTACATGACAAGGAAGAGGGCTAAGGGAATCTTTTCTGAAGTCTAGATATTTTCTAGGATTGAATCTCCCAGAATCTAATCTTAGGGGAAGACACTAGAAGTCCAATTGTGGGAGTAAAACGAATCAAGGACCTCTAATTCAGGCTGATCAATGATTATGCCAATAATGTGATCTTTATCTGCTTTTTTTCTTCATCTTTGTTTTCTCAGTTGGATCAAAGCTATGGGACAAGGGTGAATCTATCATCATCCTAAATCACACTGGCAAAGAGTAACACTATGTACTTCCAATAGACAAACCTGCATTCCTTATTATTAACAGTGTAATAGGCTTAATAGTCAAATGTACCTATATTTATGGGGAGATGATACCCTAGCAACTTTTTAGATTTGGGGTAGGTTTTAGTTCAAATCCAGCTTGGGCATTTAGATTTAAGAAGCAGTTTTCAAATAGGAAAACTGAGACTTGGTTTCCTTATTGCTAATATCTAGATACATCTAGCTCAGATTTAGTTTAAGAATTAAAAGCAATAATATAAATAAAGTACCTCTGGCAATACCTTATATGTAGGTACTCAATAAATGTTAATTCACAGCTCAGTAAGTATTAAGAACTACTTATATTAGACCCAAATGGGTCCACTGTAGATTTTTCGAAAAGAACAAAAATCCTCCCTTCTCCACTTCCAAAAGGCAACATAACTTTTCATCCTGAAAAGACTATTTCAAGTCAAAATTCTGAACTATGAGTAGGGGAATAAAGCTCACACCCAAAATAAGAAGGACTGCAGAAGTAGGTAGCAGATGACAGAGAAGTAGAAACAGAGAGCAAAGGCAATCATGTCCCTTTTCCCCTTTACATTACGCTGCAAAGCACAGTTACAGACACCGAGTGTCTGTGACCCTCCCAGCTTTCATATGTTAAATGTTAACCCCCAAAGTGATGGTATTAAGGAGGCAGCACGTGATTAGGGAAGTGATTAGGTCGGGAAAGAAGAGCCTTCTTTAATGGGATTAGTGCCCTTACAAAAGGGAGTCCTTAGAATTCCCCTGTCTCTTCTACCAGCTGAGGACACAGTGCCGAGAAGCAAGAAGTGGACCCTTATCCAACACCGAATGTGCTGGCACCTTGATCTCGGACTTTCCAGCTTCCAGCACTGTGAAAACGAAATGTTTGTTGTTTAAGCCCCCCAGGGTACGGTATTCTGTTATAGCGGCCTGGACTGACTACGAAAGGAGAAAATAGTTCCTATGCCTGCTAAGAGCGCTGTTAGTTCTGGCCACACAGATACCCCAGAAGTGAGATAGGGAAGACCTCCAGAGACTGGCTGCCCATGATGGCAGTTACCAAACTGGGACTCCAATCTGATCCCACCCCAGGCATTAAACCACTTAAGAAATGCCTTCATTCTGCGTAGTATGTGGCAATGAAAGGAAGTGTGTGATCAGCCCCATCTCGTTCTCTTCTCCTACACTGAGAGAATCAAGTGCCCTGATTGTTTAGAGAAGCAGCTTAAACTCAGGGACTTAATAAGAAGCTGAAACAGGTCAGTTTAAACAACAAGCAACACTGGAAAGCTCAGCAGAGAACCAGTTTACCAAAATAAGAATGTTTACGTACGTCAGGGCACATGCAACTTAATGCTAAGCAATGATTACTCCAGGGAGTCCTCTGCTACAAACCAGCATTCAGGTGAAAGACCTTGCACACTAAGAATAAAACTAAGAAAACTAGAAAAACTAAGAAAAGAATGAGCTTCTTTACACTTCTGGAAAGAAAGTCCTAATATGGGGCGCTTGGGTGGCTCAGTGGGTTAAAGCCTCTGCCTTCGGCTCAGATCATGATCCCAGGGTCCTGGGATGGAGCCCCATATCTGGGCTCTCTGCTCAGCAGGGAGCCTGCTTCCTCCTGCCTCTCTGCCTACTTGTGATCTCAGTCTGTCAAATAAATAAATAAAATTTTAAAAAAAAAAAAAAAGTCCTAATATATCACAAAGTATTCCAGGAAAAGAACCTGGGATTGGAGGTGGAGGTGGGTGACTTTGGAATGTAAACTCTGGGGATGTAATCAATGACTTGATTTGTGTTTTAGCCTCTGATGCCTCTGATTTTTGTGAATTCAAAACCATTAATACTATTAAGATGAGTAGTCTGATCTAAAAACCAAGATCAAACATTTAACACCATGACTTTCAGAACTAGTGAATTCCAGAGAGGAGCTGAAGGCGCTGTGAAGAAACATTTGCCCTACCAATTTTATCGAAATCTGTTGAATACAAACTTTATAGCAGTCTTTTAAGTCTTGTGCTATTTAAAACAGAGTGAGAGAAAGAGAGGAAGGAGGAGAAGGTAAAGGAAGGGCAGGGAGGGAAGACAAGGGAATTCCAATCCTTTAACATATGCTCGCTAATTCTTTGCAAAAGACCACGATTATATTCCATGGCTTATATTTCAGGAAGCAGTTTTATAAATCCTAAGTAAGACGTGACAAAGAGGAGAGAAGGTAAAATTACCGAAGCATACTGTTTCTGAATTCTATTCGGCATTATACATGGTACAGAGCACAGACAGCGGAGATTTTAAAAATGTGTTCAATTCTTTGTAAACATAAGGTAGTAGAGATTCTACTTCAAAGACACAGGCTACTAGTTTAAGAAATGGGAAAAATGTTCTGCCACCTCCCTCAAGCTAGTCACCCTGCTTCTGCAGGAGTGTAGGAATTACTGCAAAGTGGTTAGTTCTATAAACGTATTGTCAACGCTGTTTTACATAGAAGAGAACAAATATTTCAAAATATTTAAAAACATCCTCCCCGTTTCTATATTTAGGTCTTTACTTTGGCTTCTTTTTATGGAAAGGAGGACATTCCCCAGCTCACCTGTTTCAAACCCCACACTTGGCACTAAGTCCACGGTTCCATGAAAGGCTCCGGCCCACGCTGAGGTAGCAGTGGTGACTGTAGTCGGATCTGTCTTTGTGATGTCACACTGGGGAGCAGGAATCCTGGCCGCACGCACTGAGGGCATCAGCAGGGGCCCGTAGGACGGATCCAGGGCAGAGCCAGCAGAAGGGTGGTGGTGGTGGTGGGGATGGCGGTGGTGCATGTGGGCACTGGGGTGGTGGTGTCGCATGTATACGTCATGCATGTGGCTGTAGGACGGGCTCACCTGAGATGCCAAAGGATAGTGCCAGGGCTCGGACACGGGAGGGGGCGGGGCCGGGCCAGTCTGATGCAGCCCGTGTCCTGGCCAGGGGCTGGGGTCAGCTGCGGTAAAGGTGCCAGGGGGTGCAGTGACCTGGAAGTCAGGATGAACACCCCCCAAGCAGGGTGCAGATGGGGGCTGGTAAGAGCTGGTCCAAAAGGAAGTCGGGAAACTACTCCGCTGGCTTGAGAGAGCTGAGCTGTCTGAGAAGACAGAAAAATTATTTACATAAGATTCAGTTCCAAGATAGACTTGCCTCTACTTGTCCCATATTTTACAAGCCGGCTCATTAGTATTCACTCTTTGCTCCCCACACAGAGGTAAACCGGTATTAGGCAAGTCTCTGAGATCCCATACCAAGTCAATGCACACGGTGCAAGGTGCTGAGTGATGGCCCCCCCCACCCCTTTTTCACTTAGCTTATGCAGTCACAGTCTGGGCTGTGGTTTGCCAAGTCTGAGATTGAAAAGCTTCATTTCCTGCTGGGTGGCTTGCTGCGATTGGGTCTGGGCAGAGGTCACAGGTACAAACATCACAGGTAAAGAAACTTATGCCCTCGTATGTGAGTCAAGTAGGTTGAAAATGCTGATATTTATCAAACTTCTTATAAATGCAAATGCAATTTTCATTCAAACCACATTTTAATGCTGAAAGTGATAAACAGAAATATGATCACACTGAATTATGCTCACCAACACTCATTTCCCATCAAGAAGAGTGTAGCCCAAGCTTATTTTTTCTGTAGAGGTCTGGGAGTCTCGGATTGAGAGTAATAGTTGTTGATATTTAGTAACAGTGACCAAATGCCCGATCCTAGTCCTGGGGCTTTTCATGGATGATGCTATTGGATCGTCACGCCAATAAGGTAGTTATTGTTATTACCCCCAGTCTAGAGAGATGGAAACTGAGGAAGGGAAGAAGACCAAGATTGCACAGCTGGCAAGTAAGAGACGGGGCTCTGAAGGCAGGTGGCCTGCCTCAGTGGCCGGCATACTTCATAACTGTGCCATAAGAGGGCACAATTGCAACTGTGACATGAACATCTAGCATTCAGTGATGACCATGAGTAGGGAAGATTCAAGTAGGGTGAACAAGTAGGAGAAGGGGTTAGGCAGAGGGGTAATACAAAACAAAACAAAACCACTTAGAGATAAATAAAGAGGGAAACCACCCCCACAACTATTCAGTTAAATTTCTCCACTCAATCATCGTATTTGTAGATGACCTACTATGTGCCAAGCATAGGGAGGTCAGGGATGGCCAAAATGATCACAATCTAGCAGGGGACAGATAAGTAAACATGTCATTGTGACCTGGTAGGGGGGTCCCATAATGGGGAGAACAGAGAGTGGGAACAGAGGCAGCCTAAGAAAAAAAAAAAAAATTACAAGGGTGGGTAGGACTAGCCTTGTGAAGAGGTTGGGAAGAGTAATTTAGGCAAATAAAAAAGTATATGTAAAAGGCCAAGCATCACACACACACACACACACACACACCACACACACGCACATACAAAGTAGCACATGAGGAAAAAAAATTGTGTGGGCAGAAGGTGGCAAAAAATTAGACTAAAAAGTCAGACTGGGTCCAAGAAAGACTGAGATGGGCTTTGCCAGCCATGTAATGAATGTGGGCACTGTCCTAAGAAAGTGCCAGTGAGCTTTGAAGGGTTTTAACCGAGGGAATAATACAGTCAGATCTATGACTGGAAAGATCCACAACTCCAGCTATGGCCAGCTGTCTACGGTGGGGTTATAAAAGAGCAAGCTCAAGACTGGGAGTCTAGAGAGCTCAGCCAGAGAGCTAGCACCTACCAATTACCTTATCTGATTTCATGATCTCAAATGGATCTGTTGATCTCTCCATGGCTCAGTTTCTTCCATATGAGGTATCTCAATTAAAATTCCAAATATTTTCTGGCTTTATGTTTCTATCATTCTGTGAAGTGGCCTATGATGTCTATCTATAGATGAAGATAAGGTTGCTTAGTCCATGAGTCATGCGTGGATAATAAGATGCTATTTTCATACAAACTTCCACAGAAGAGAACCTAGCTAAATCTTTTCATTGAGTGAAGAAAATCCCAAGAAGTACTCTGAAACAGAAGTATTCAGAAGTCTGACATAGCCATGTTCTCACTTCATAAATTTTCAGGTCATAGTTTTCTGACCGCAGAGGAAAGCTTCCATAACCTGAACCAGCCACTGTATATATAATTTGATTAACTAATTAGGATATCACCACGGTGTTCATATGTTTCCTTTCTCCAGCTTCCCAAGTGGCTGTTGCACTAGCCCTGCAGACCCTCCCCCTCTCTCCCTGTCAGCCCTACACCAAGGCTACCATCATTCACCCCATTCATTCTTCGGACAGACAGCCATTTGGTGTCTCACATTCAAGTCTCCCCCTCCCCACCCCACCTCACTTCCCACCCCACCCCCACAGAATCTCCAAGGTCCTCAAATCCCTTGGGGAAATTAAACAAAATAATGATAATGATATTCTCCAAGAGGCAAAGGATGGAAGTGCACATTGTTCTTCAAGTCTTCCAACAGTCCAGGCAAACCGTTAATCGAATGACTTCGCTTTGTCACCATCACATCTACCAGAAAGTAACACTTAAGGTCAAACTTACTGGCATTGGGGCCAGTCTGTTTTATTTCAGAATTGTCTCCCTTTGACCTATGAAAAGTGGCTGCTAATGACCTGCAAGGAAAGTTGTGTAAGCTTTGAGAAGAAAATTCAAATTTGCCTTAAATGGTGGCCATTTGTAGACTATTCTGCCACACCCACAATGAGAGCTATCAATGTTAAAATTAAAGCCCATGCAAAAGTTTATAGAGGCTCCTTAGATTATATAGTGCGGCTTTGCCAACCTGAATCTGTGCCACTTTGTTGTCACAGATTCAATCCTTGGGTAGCAAACTCTTCATTCTGCTCTTAACTTTCATCTCCTGATGGGGCCAGAATCCCGTTATGAAAATGGTTAAGCCCAACCCACAGGTGCGAGCCAGAGACACTGAGTTCCCCTTATTAAAATCTCCCATTAAAATGTCAAAACTACAGAGTCTATGTCATTTTCCTGGATACTTTCCTTTTACTTCCTTTCATTTATATATACTTAGACCCAATTTTATTTTATAGATGCTTAGGCATTTGGATATGCATGCACCAATGTGAATAATGAACAAATTCCTTACCCAAAATATTATCCTATTTATGAATAATTGTATTGTAATTAATGAACACACTGTCAATGGAAGTGGAAATCTGTTTTTAAAAACGTGCTCGGTAAAGGCTGAACAAAGCTTTAAAATGCCCCAGGGAAAAATAAAATTAGAAGCAACTTAATATTTTCCCAGTCTGTACATCTCCTGAGATTAATATAAAGTCTATAGAGATCTTTGCAGCCCTTTTCAAAGACAGTGTTGCATTTTTCAAGTAAATGAAACAATATTGAAGAGAAAATATGTTTATGGAAGTCTACACTTCAAAACCACTATTTGGTATCTTGGATGTTAAAAAAAGTCTTAATACAAAGAAACAGATGATATACTTTGGTTCATGCCTGGGAATCAGTGTACTTATTTCATATGTATGTAAATTTTTTTCATTACATGACTCTTGGCTTAAGAGTACTTAATCACAGCCACATTTGTTTGATGAAAAAGCATATGAAAATTTTGTGCACAAGCTATTTCCATGCAATATTACTTTTCAGGTTAGTGGAGGCAATTCAGAACTGTCAGATGTTAACACCCGGTGGTGACTTTGGACTCAGTGGTACTCGATATTTGGATGATGTCAGCCAACACTGACATTATGACACATACAAAAAGTCTAAATACACTTTGGTTCAATCTGCATTTGGGAATTTAAAAATATTACACACACACACACACACACAAACACACACACACACACACACATCCTTGTTTCTAAAAAACAAAAATGACAAAATTGTTATGCTGCCTAATACAACCCACCCAAGGCATACCCAGTAACCTCACTGTGTGAATTATACAGAAATATACTTTAAAGACGCAGAAGAGTTTAACATGGAACATCAAGTTATTCTTTCAATTTCATAATAGATGGGATAACTTTTATATTAGCTCTAAATATTTCTGAAAAAAAAAAAAAAGAAAACTCTAAGGGTAAACAATTTAAACCAGAGAAGATTTAACATTTAATTTCATAAATTAAACATCTTACTACTTAATTTTGAAAAAAAAAATGAAAGCTATGTTAAAAGGAAAATGGTACAATAGAATGCTGTAAAACCTCTACCTTAAGTCACCTTTAAAATCCCCAGGAAACATATTCTCAGAGTAATGATATAAAACATTAACATTAAAAGATAACATTTACCTTTTTATTAACTTAAGTGAAAGAAATGTGACTCAACTCTTAATCCAAAGGGTCCTAACTGTAATTTAATTCCCACCTTCTTATTCTGGTTCCCATGAGAACAAATTGTTGAGTCAGAGGGGAAAGGCTACGTTTTCCAATGTTTTCTTTCACTCAGGGATTAGGCATTACCATTATGTTCAAAGTTTGTCCTCCAGTTACTTTGTTCTAGAGTTGCTCACAAAGGACACTGTGACTAAAATGGCAGTTTCAAGGAGGCAGGATGATGACGTTAAGTCAGGCCTCGTTTTCCTTCCATGTGTTCTTCCTAAACTTGCCAGCAGCAATGACCTCCAGGGCTTCCTGGAGATGCCTCTCCGCCATCTTTCCCAGTCTCACGCAGCTCAGAGATGCGCCCTCCTTCCCCTTCTCCTCTTTTACTGTTTTCAGGTTAGTGCTCATTGTGAGAGGTCTTCGCAATGAGAATGAGTTGCTCTAAGCAGACACTATATAAATAAACCAAGTAATAACTATTTATTTTGTAACAGCAACAAAATACTAAGTTCACCACTCAGCAAGGTTTTTCCCTGAGTGATACTTCTATTTTGTTAACTCAACTGCTTCACTTTCCTACACACACACACACACACACACACACACAAACACACACTTTTTGTAATAACACTTGGGCACTGAGATCAATACATAGACATATTTGGAGCCCATATTTCTATTTAGATGGGGATAAAAGGGCAATCAGATTCGTTACGTTTTCTCAATTGAGAAGCCCTATTCAATCCCTGTAAGAATATATACTGGGGTAAGAGGTAATTGATGTGACATTGTGCCAAGTAAAGTACAAATACTTCCTATCAATTATTTGCCTAAAAGCTACAAACACCTAAAAGAGGACTTTCTTAACTCCATCAAGACACACACTTAAAGTATGACCATTATTCCATTATTGCTGACACTCTATCTTTGTCTAAAGATTTACTGTGGCAATACATTCTGCAATCAGACATAACTCAGTTTTAAATTCCTTTGTAGCACTATAGCACTTGTGCAGCATAGTAAAAACTTCATGCCATAAATTAGACCCTTTAATTTAATACAGCTGGTTAGCAGCTCCTGCATAAAGCATCACCACCATGGCCATCAACATTGTCAATAGCATTGAGTAGCTACTTTGTGCAAGACACTGTTTTTTGCTAGAAAGAGAAACCTCCAGAAAACAGTGTTTCTGGATCAAAAAACCCAAGGTTGGTTTTCTATGTGCCAAATGAGTGGAAACTTACTTAAGGAAGAGAGAAAAGACGTATCTCTCATCATTTAGCACCTTGCATAAAGCCACAAATCATTCATACACATTATCAAAGAATCTTTACAATAACCCTGGGAAACATATATCAATAAACACATACTATAGTTGAAGTTGAGCTCAGAGAGATTTAAGTATTCAATCCAAAATCATGTTGTAGTCAGACATAGTAAGAGGCCTATATTGCAACCCCAAAATGAACAGAATCCAAAGACTGCATTATCCAAACCTGTGTTACTTCGCTAATTAATACAAAATTACCAGTAACTCTCTTCAGTAGACATGGGAATCTCAATTTATCAGATCTCTCTTAAGGATATTATTTTCTAAATCTTTAATTACATTTTGGTAAATCTCCTTTCAATCACATCTAAGTAATGTGTATTTATCAAAATCCGACTATTTCGCAGCTAGAAACAGTTATGGCAAAATTCTATCAATAATGGAGAGTAAATATTACTTTGTAATAATACGCTTGAAATCATAGAATTCTACGGAGAAGAGATGTTAACAGTCACTTAATTCAACCCCCTTATTTTATAAATAACGAAACTCTAAGCAAAGATTTCACAGTTAACGCTCACCAATTCTACGTTGAGAACTTTTTTGTTTTCTCATCTGGGATAAATGGTATGAACTTGATTCATCTAATTCAGTCACAATCATCCAATTCATATGCATCCTTGATTTTCCAGGCAGAAATGCATTATCTTGAGAATTAGGGAAAATGACGTGAGAAAACTAGATACGATATATGTAGTCTTAGTCTCCGAGGGAGGGATGAAAATTGAAGAGGCTGCCATGTTTGCCTGCACTACCCAGATACACTAAACTGACAAAGTCATAAAAATCCTAGTCTCTAGCTAGCGCCCTGCTTTTCATTCCACTCATGGTAGCAGTCTTGCTTCTCACTGAACACTCTTAAGTCCAGTCCTTCCACGGGACCTTGGTACTCGGTGTCTCCACTGCCTCAAATAACTTCCCCCTAGATGTTCATATGATGAGGGACATTCTTATTTCCTTCAGGTCTGTGCCCACATGTAACAGACTCAGAGAGAGTATCTCTCATCACCCTAAGTAAAACAACACCTAGGCATTTCAATATTTACTTACTACCTGTCTCTTCCACCAAAAAGTTTCATGAATGTAGAGGCTTTGACTCTCAAGTTTGAGGATATATTCCTGCTATCTAGAACACAGTAGGACCTTAATATTTGCTGCTTATGTCAATGAATGAAACAGGAGGTAAACTTGAAGGCCAAATTCCCAATAATCCCAAGAAAATTATAACAACAGTTACAGAAACATTACTATTATACGTTCTTTCTACTCGAACATTGGACATCAGTCCAAAGGTCTCTATGCAGTGGCACAGATAATGGGAAAAACACTGGACTGTAGAGCTTTTGCATATGCACAACACCTCACTTGAAACTAACCTGGTTATAGTGCTATAGAAAATCACTCACTTCTAACTACAATTTGATGCTCTTGTTTCTATATTACAAATTAAATGATTAGTAGATTGCATTGTATTTAATTCTCTGCTAGGATAGATTATCCTAATATGATTCATTATTGACATATCAGACTAATTTATTAAAGCCAGCTAATTTACTGAAGCTTTCCTACTTTTCACCTTAAACACATATTAAAAGTATTTACCACATGCTATCAAATAGGCCACTGCTTTACTTTTACCAAGGTAAAAACAATAATCTAAACCACAGAGACACAGTCAATAATGTCTGGATTGTAAACTCTAAGAGTTCATCCCACAACAAAGCAAGACAGAAAAAACTATCAAGAGAACACAGAAGGCTTTCAAAGTTTGGACTCCTGGGTCAGACTCAGATTTCTGCTATGTCACCACGTAGCACCTAGTGGAATGAGCAAGAGCTAATTTTTAAAAGCTGATCCAGGCACGCCTATCATTTGGAGATCCAAACTGGGCCATTGGGGCTTTAAGGAATGGTGCTTCACAGCTCAGTCCTGCCACTATAAACTCAGGCCGGTTGCATCACTACTTTCCATGAGGAATTTAAGGGGTGTGACTGCATCCTTTCCAACCCTGCATTCCACATGTGACAAAACTGATCCAGCTGTTTGTCTGAAAGAAATTCCTTGCTGTCCTTAAAAATTAAAAAGCAAGTGGATATCCGTCCTCCAGGGGCAAATCTCCAGCTGGAACCTGGTACAGGCAGTTGCGAAACAGAGACAGAGCCCTGGAGAGCATCTGCTTTTGAATTCTTACCTCGCCATAGGGGGGTTAGCCCCATCTTGCTTTTTGAAATGGCAGATTCTGGATGGAGGGTGCTGGCTTGGCCCAAAGCTCTTGAGAAGTGTTCATCCACTACTGACCCAATGTCTCCCTGGAAATAAGTGAAAAGGACACAGCGAGAGTTAAGGTACTCCATCTCGGCAGGCTGGTCTTTCTCCTCCTCCTCCTCCTCCTCCTCCTCATCCTCCTCCTCCTCTTGTTTGCTGGGAAGGGTGACTTCCAGAGAGTCCTGCATCTTGCTGTATACCGCTAACTTCTTCTGGGATGGAATAAACAAAACACGGTATCAAAGACAGTTTGTAAAAAAGCATTAACTACTTAACTTTTCACTTAAAAAAAAATCTAAATATTAACATATGTTTGCAAACTGATTCTTCTTAGTCTGCTTTACTCCATCTTTTCCCTCCCAAAACCAATCTTCTCCTTCCCCCCCAAAAAATAAGTCTGTTACTTCAAATTTTGCAAAAAAAAAAAAAAAAAAGTAAATTATCATTATCAGACAATATATTTCAGAGTGTAAAAGACAGGTTTGTTTGGTTTCTCTTTTTCATAATCTAAAATACCAAAGTAGAACGGCTTTAAAGAAGTTTTTTTTTCCAGTGTTTCATCAATTTTCTATTTTAAAATTTGAATATACATATATCAACATTATAGTTTGGGACAGAGAGGAATAGGGGACAGGCGGGGGTGCCTGGGGTGGGGATGGGGAAGAAAAGAGCTTTCCATAAATGAAATAAACTAAAATAAAAACAGGAATGTAGCGTCTTATAAAAGGATTTGGCAGATGTGCCAAACTCATTTCTCAAAAATCAAACTAAAATGACAAAGCTAAGTCTGTGTGAAGATCCATTTTGCATGGAACATATTTTGCAGATGTTCCACTTGCCACCATTATCATGGAGGGGAAAAAAGATAATATTATAGCTTACTGAAAATAATACACGGTGTTACCAATGTCTAGGGTGGCTTTCAAATAAAAATGACAAAATTTTGATAATTTTAAAATATTCTTAAAACCTCTGATCACAGCTGTAATAATAATCCATGTATATTACACCAAGCACTCTTATAAAACTTTGAACTTATTACCTCAGTTAATTTTTATAATTCTACATCATGGTTATTATTACCATCTATATTTTAAAGGTGAAGAAACAAAAGGACAGAGAAGTAAAGTCACTTGCCAAAGGTCACAGAGGATGAGAGTGGTGGAGCCAGAATGCGTAATAAAAATATGCAGGTATACTTATATGTGTTTATAAGGACAGTGGAGGGGGATCTAGAGCAGGGAAAAAAAAGCCACCAAAATGGTATGTTATCATTTTCTGGCTGGTAAGGTCTCTAGTTGTTATTCCTGCTTTTCAATATTTCCAAATGTTTTTCATTGAGTACATATGATTTTTATAAGCAACAACTTCAATGTGAATTATATACATAAGATAATGCTAAAGATTATAAAATTTACTATCCTAATGATGAAATGAGTTCTCTATCATTTGTATACCTGCAAAACCTGTTTCTTTGTTATACTATTTTTATTCCAGAAAAAAAAATGCATGCTGGAAAATGAATGTGAGTCGAAAAAATAAATCATTCTAGAATACTCCGTAAGCACATAGTTCTGCAAATGTTATCAAAACATGTAACCCAGATTCGTGTTTCTAATGGAATTACTAGCTTCAAAAATCTATAGCCCCAAATTATAAATGCATCATTCAATAAATTGAGCCCTTTCCCCCAAGCAATGAATATGTTGTTCTTGAGGGAGGTGGGCCCTGAAATGTTCAGGCATATTATGAGCTGTTAGTTATTATGTAGGAGCTGTTATTTATAAATACATGCATTATTTTATATTTAAAATCTGTGTCAATGTGGTTATCGTTTGTTGATGAATAGATAATTCATTCCTGTGAGGGAACACGCCTTGCTGATGAATAGCTGGTTGTAACGACGGTGCGGTTATATTTCCTACAATCTGTGTCGCACAGGTTTGAACATGTTTATGTTTAACTTCAAGAGCAAAAACACCACGGTAACAAAGATTATGTATAAAATAAGGGGGTTGAACCAAATGGCCTCTAAAATTACTTCTGACTTTAAATTCCATTAAAAAATAAACAAATATTACAATTTATTAGTCAAATCACACTACAATTTCTCTGTGTGCCTGTGTATTTATCTGAAGTTATGCCGTTAAGCATATACGCACACTCTCTGCCAAGTACTCTGGTATATGAAAAAGAAGCACTGTTTTTACATAGGAAAGGAGCTTAAACTGATCCAGAGGGAGTGACTTCACTGTCCACTGGTGTTCATTACTATCCCTGAAACTGATCTTTTTTTCCTGTTAATGTCTAGTTCAGCATCGGTTTGTGAGGGTCAGGTTTTGAATCTAATTGTTTCATTTGTTCAATTTTAACATCAATTCTTTAAAGGAAAGAGCCTGGGCTGTGCTAATTATGCAAAGAAAGGCAATGTTTTATTTTATCCCAATTAGCAAATAATTCTTAGATGAAATAAAATTAAAGTTTTATAAATATGGAAAAGATTTACAACTACAAATCCTGATATAAAGATAGCATAGTATTATGACCAGTAATAGCAGTAATAAAATATCTTATTAATTAATGGCAGTTGGATTTAATCTATAGATTTTCAATTTATTTAAGATTACAAAATTTTCTAAATGTTGTAAAATTTCATATTACACTTTTTTGACCAAGTGTTGAATGGTTGTATACAAATAAATTAATCTAAAATTTACATATGAAAAATTCAATATGAAATGGGGAAAAAGTGAACAAAAAGTGAACTGCCATTGTATTAAAATACCTTTTACGAGTCTATTTTCTAAAAGTTATTCTTCTGTTTATGGTTGCATTTATTCCCTATATCCTTTACGTTTCATATATATGTAATATATGTCTGGATATATACACATGCATTTACATAAATATATAATGATACCTTATTTCTTTTGATAGGCAAACACCGGTGACTTTATTAAAATATATGTATTGACTCTACTTAAATACAATTTTTTGAAAGGATATAAGATACGTTTTTTTTTTCCTCTCCCAGCTCTTTAAGACAGGTCTTCTATTAAGTAAATACATTTGCTTGGAGACTATCAAATAAAATACAGCCTATGATACATCTACCAATAGGCTGGACATAAGGCATTATCTATCATTCTCTAGTACTTTTTTCTGATAAAGATGAGTCGATTTTCACAAATTATACTGAACCAACTTAACTACTTACATTTAACACACACACGCACTCACGCATAAGCACACACGCACACGTGAACACACGATTAACTTCACCATCGATACCACTCATTAAAATAAGAATTCTAAAGTACCCAAATGGCCTGAAACCTTCCTAGAATGCAGTGAATCTGCATACTTTTTAATGTTTTTAATTAAAGAACAATATAAACAGAAAAGGCTATATATCGTAAATGTTTAGTTCATAAACTTCATAAACTGAGTGCATCAATGAAACGAGCAACAGATCAAGAACTAGAACATCATCAGTACCCCCAGAAGGCACTGCTTCCTTCAAGACACTATCTCCTGAATCCCCACCACTATCCAGACTTCTATCAATGTGATTTGCCAAAACTGTCTTTTGTACTTTATATAAATGGACTCCTACAGTATGTACCCTTTGTGTCTGGCTTCTTTCATTCTCTATTGTGTTCATGAGATTCCTGCATATTGTCGCATGTAGTCATAGACTGCTCATTCTCATTGCTGTGTAGTAATCCATTTATCTGTTCTACCACTTACAGCCATTTGGCTAGTTTCCAGATTTGGGCTATTACAAATAGTACCCCTATGAACACCTGAGTATGTCTTTTAATGAACATACGTCTGCATTTCTTTGGGGTATATACCAAAGGGAAGATTGCTGGGTGAAAGGGAATGTACGGATGTGGTTCAGCCCTAACAGATATTGCTGGTTTTCTCAAGTAATTTTCACCAACCTACACACGGACAGCCCGTTTATGAGAGTTCCTGTTGTTCCATATCCCTCTCTACCCTTGGTACTGTATTTCTTTTTTCAGTTTTGCTCTCCTGATAGATATCCCAATTTTTAAAATTTTTTTTTCTTTGAGGTGTAATTCACATAAAATTGACCTTTTGAAAGTCAATGATTCTGTGGCATTTAGCACATTGAGAATGCTGTATAACCACCATCTCTCTCTCTCCAAAACATTTCATCAACCCAAACAGTTCATGATAACCACCGATCCGCATTCTGTCTCTAGGGATTAATCTATCTTGGCTATTTCATATAAACTCAATCATACATATATGACATTTTTGCTTCTAGGTTCTTTCTCTTAGCATAATGTCTCCAAGGTTCATTCACACTGAACCAGTACTTCATTCTTTTTATAGCTGAGTAGTATTCCATTACATGCAAATAGCATAATTTGTTTATCCATGTATTCACGGATGAATATTTGAGTCATATCTACCTACTGCCTACTGCAGATAATGCTCTTATGAGTATACACGTATTTGGTTGCACACCTCTTTTCAATTCTCTTGGGTAAGTATGTATGATAGTTGGGTAATATGGTAACACTACACTTAACTTATTAGGGACCTGCCAAACTGTTTCCACAGCGGCTGAACCACTTTAGATTGCCACCAGCAATGTACTTGGGGTCCAATCTGTCCACATCCCTTTGTAGAAAAATAACACTTGTTATTTTCTGGATTTTGAAAAAATTATTATTACAGCTATAGTCACCCTAGTGGGTATGAAGTGGTACCTCACCGTGGTTTTGATTTGCATTTCCCTAATTACTAATGATGTTGAACAATTTGCATACATTTAAAAAATATTAAGTGTGAGCACAAAGAAAACAGGAACAGAATTTAAACAGTAACTGACTCATATGCTGACAATCATACTGTCTTAACATTCTCCTCCACAGACCCTTAAGCCTTAGCTACTTTCCGATATCCGTGCTTTGGTGACAGTAAATCAATTCTTTGCCTATTTTGAACTAAGTAAATTATCCATGTGCACTTTTGCCATATTCTGTATTCACTTGGTATTTGCTTCTTAGCATGAAACTTGCCTGGTGTTACATTCTTTCTTGAGAATAATATATAACATTCAAAATGTTGAGGATAAACCTCAAATCATCAGAATCTAGATTTCCTGAATCGAGGTCAAAAGGCAATCTAGTTAATGTTGTTTTTTTTTTCCTCAAGATGCACAATACTTCCTAAA